CAAATAGTCTGTATCCATTTGGTAATCGTGCTAGAACATCTAAATAATAATAATAAATTAATTTTGTTAAAAATTTTAAAGTATGTAAAATAAACAAAATTTTAAGATCATACTTACTATTACTAATGTCTACGTCAGAATTCTTGCACAATACTTTAGCTAAAGCCTCTCCAAGTTTTGTTAAATATAATTGCAATTTTTTCTCTGATGATTCTATTATGGGTCGATAATAACTAATATTACCATGCCCATCTTGTCGCGGCGTAATTTCCGTTGGCCAGCGCGACTGTGAACCATCAGAATACGTGACTTCAATTCCCGTTATGGTAGCATTAACATTAATCAATTTCATTTTTTTTTTTTTCGATTAAAAAAAAAAGAGTAAAAAAATGGTTTGTTGTATGTGTGAAAATTGCAAATGTATAAATAAAAATACAAACGCGATCAGACAATATATAGATTTAGTAATCATTTCATCTTATATATTATTTAATGATATCATTATGGGCTGTCTAACTACGTAAAAGGTAAATTGTTTCACTCATGTAACTTTATTAAACATTATTAAAGTAAAGGTACGCTGTTCCCATTTATTCCGATTGTGTTATTATTTTAAACCAGACACATAAAAATTTTCTATATATTTATGTAAATAAAAATAAATAATAAAATACATGAAAGAAAAAAAACCATCATTATACTTATCGATTATTTCTATGATTTAATAATAGCGATATTCTTTTTCTTTATTAAATAAATGTTACATTGGTCAGTAACCTCTTGATCACTATATCAAGATCACGGGATTAACGGAAAATACTTATTTGTGCGAGTGATACAAACCCAAAAAGAAAATTCAACGTAAAAGTAAAATCAAAATTTTAGTGTTAAAACGGTAATGTTAGATGCTATAGAAATAAATGTTAACTCCCTATATAAAATTTCATTCTCGTCATTTTTAATTAGTGCCTCCAAGACGGGTTTAAACACTCGTTTTTTT